GACATGGGACCAGCACTGGGGACACAATCAGCCCCTGGGGACAGGCGAGCAGCCCCTGGGGACATGGGACCAGCACCTAGGGACACAGGATCATCACTCGGGACACAGGACCAGCACTGGGGACAAGGGAGCAACACTGGGGACACGGGACCAGCACTGGGGACATGGTACCAGCACTGGGGACACAGAACCAGCTCGTGGCTCCATCGGGTGCTTGGGGGTCTCTCTGAGCTCAGCAGGGCAGGTGGAGAGGCTCCTCCTGCTGAAGGTTTTCAGGGCACTCGTGCTGTGATTACCATCAGGCCACAGGGATGCTGGGATAAGGAAGTTTGGAATGCCCAGAGAGCTGAGTAATTACCCCGATTCTCGGAACACAGGGCAACAACCCGTGATGGGTCTTATCTGTTCTTACCTATGCAACTTTTATGGATACTCTCAAAGCAACACAATACTGTGAAAAAATTATTAGGTTGCATTAGTTCTTTAATATTTACTAAACATTTATGGGAAAAAGCAATGTACTTTCTCTTCAGATGGATTCTTTACATTTAATGTCCACAATGTTTATTCCTTTCAGTCTTTACATTTCTCACACTGACTGGCAGTAAATTGGGCTGAAGTTATTTCTCAACCAAAGCTGCTGCTGGTTCCTGGTGCTCTTTGATAGATCATGCACTGCCCCAGCAGAGGTTATCTTACCATGAACTGTGCCCATGACACAGCGGGATCACCTGGAATAACAATGATCCCAATCAGGGTCAGGGCCCTTCAAGCACCCCATTTACACTCTCAGCTCCCACAGAGGAGATCATTACCAGGCTGACTTGCCAGTAACAGTTTCCAGTTGACTTTGGCTTGTGTTTCCAGAATGAGGAGTAGAAAACGCTTCCATGAAGATGCAGAAAGCCAGGGGTAGGCTGTGGTCAGTGGGACAAAATACAGGATCACAAAGTCTTTACAGATGATGTGGAAAATGGCATCAGCACTCAATATCCCCTGGGAGGACACTGGGATCCTCGGGAAGGGCTGTCCCCAGCTCCAGGGACTGGCACAGCAAAACCCAGAGCACAGAGCAGCTCAGCTTGACCTGAGCTGAGCTTTACCTGAGCCCACCTGGCAGTGGGGCCCGGTTCCCTGGGAATGAGGGCACAGCCCAGCACAGCCCTGGAGGGCTCTGCCAGCCGGAAGGGCCCTGGAAGGGTTTCCTCACTCACACAGTAACACATCCTATGAATAATATCTGAGTGTGACTCAAACCAGCTTGTGAGAGGCTGAATGTTTACATTTAGACCAAGAGAGCAGAGCGAGCCTGGCATTCCACCTCCAGTGGGAATTAGAGTGGGGCTGGGATTAAGGGCACGCTCCCAGATCCTGCCAGGCTGGCTGTTTATACCCAGCATTCTCCATTCCTTCAGCCAACCCCAGGGGTGCTGCTGAGGGTGCAGAGCAGCCCTGTGCAGAGCTGGCAACAGGAGCTGCCAGCACACGTCAGCAGGGCAGCAGCAGCAGCAGGAGCTGTTTGTGGGGTGCCTCTGGGCAGTGCTGACACCAAATCCCAGCTCACGCTGCCCTGCAGCATCCCCCAGAGCTGGGCAGAGCCTGGGGTGTCCATGGGAGCACCACTGGGAGCAGGAACCCTGTGCTGAGCTCCAGGCAGCAAGCCCAGGCTGAGGAGTGAATAAATTCCTGCACAGAGGCCAAGACCCTCCACTGGCTCTGGTGGCTCCAGGGCTGGGAGCAGGTGGGATCCCACAGCACAGTCCTCACAGGGGCAGGATGAGCTGGCTGGGTACCTTCTGCAGTCAGGTGTTTTGCTGGAGCTACAAGGATTTTTCTGCTTTTGTTTTTGTTTAACACAGGAAGGGATTATCTGGGAATTCATGTTTCCCACCCCAGGCCTGGAGGTCAGCTGCAAAGGGAAGCTGGTGGCTGCAGCATGAGCAGAGGTGCAAAAAGCTTTATGTTTCTAGCTATTTCTATATTCCATGGGTAATTTGAATTTCCTTCCCAGCCACACAAGAGGAAAAGAGAAAAGCCTCTCTGAAAGTGCCACATCCACAGAGCCTGTGATGCCCCAGGCCTCTCCAGCTGGGTGAACATTCCCTGCAGGCACCAGAGAACATCCTGGGGGCACTCCCAGCTCTGAGCTAGGCCGAGACCCTTCCTGCCCCCTCCTCTCCTGGAGTGACACTGCCAGCCCGGGCCATAGCACATTTATCACACTGATCAGGTAAATGCGATAACACATTTATCACACTGAACAGCTAAATGTGATATAACACATTTATCACACTGATCAGGTAAATGTGATATAACACATTTATCACACTGATCAGGTAAATGTGATAAAACACATTTATCACACTGATCAGCTAAATGTGATAACACATTTATCACATTGAACAGCTAAATGTGATATAACACATTTATCACATTGAACAGCTAAATGTGATATAACACATTTATCACACTGATCAGGTAAATGTGATATAACACATTTATCACATTGATCAGGCAAATGTGATATAACACATTTATCACACTGATCAGGTAAATGTGATATAACACATTTATCACACTAAACAGGTAAATGTGATATAACACATTTACCCAGGCATGGGCTGGGGGTCACATCCAGCACCACCTCCAGCAAGGGCAGCACAAACCCCACCATGGCTGGTGAGCAGCCAGGGCTGGCACCCAGCTCAGCCACCTGGGTTTAATCAGCTTCTGTTCAAGTGAACGAGGTGTCCCCACCCTGCTGCCCTGCTGAAGCAGCTCCAGGCACAGAGGAGCAGCTCTGAGCAGCAGCATTTCCCTGCTGGGACGGGGCAGGGGGGATGGAGCTGCTCTTTGCTCAGCCCAGGCACAGGAACTGCCGCAGGCACAGGGCAGAACTGGTTTCAGACACACCCCGAGAGCAGGGGGTGAGAGCTGGGGTGGAATTGCAGATTGTCCCTGTGCCCAGCTGCCCCAGGCAGGGCACTGGGAGAGCCCCAGAGCCTCCAGGGGATGCTGCAGGAGCACACAGGGCCTTGGAGCTGTCCTGGCTGGGACCATGCTGGGCTCATCCTTTGCAGGCTGCTGTCACTGAGGAACTTCCAGGCTCTATTTTTATCTCTAAAGTTTAAAATAATTACAATTTTTATTTGCCTCTGCTAAGCCCTTCCTTTCCCAGTAGCCACCTGAAAAACTCCACCAGTGGAAAAGGGGAATAAAAGTGTTTTCCTCTGTCACCAGTGGTTAACTCCAAGGATGCTGCTGCACACAGGACATCAAACATCACAACTCTATTCCAGTCACAGCTCTGAGATAATTTCATCTCTTTAGGCATATGAATGCTACAAAGGAAAAAATATGTTCATGTCATAAACATCACAAGCTATGAGGAATATAGATCTTTGGAGGGAAATGCATTCATCAGTTGTCATATCCCATAAACTGCACCAGAACAGTTCATAGTGTCCATCCCAACACAGAAATTACTGTACAATCTACCTTCTACTTTGCACCCCAAGTACTACAAGTGGTCAGTGAGGATATACAATAATTCTACAGAGAAATCACTCAAGTGGATACATAAATGGGCCCTTTGGGGATTAAATAAGATTTTCAATAGTTGCACAATGCTACATTCATGCTACCAAGTTCACTCAATTGGGATTTGAGAAAGGAAGAACAGTTTGCCTGTCTCCAGTTAGGAGGTGAAAGGGTCAGAAAGGGAGAGAGTTTTGTGTCAGCATTTTAATCTTCCCACAGCCATTTCCTTCTCCAGATAACATGACTTTGTGCTTTCAGTGCACCTCTGGCTCCCACCTCTCACGCAGAGCTGGTGGAAGCTCCAATGTTAAACAGAACTGGCATAAATTTGGGGTTCTTTTCTTTTATATCTGAAATTTTCTTCCAGAAGCCACAGACTGGTGCCTGTTCTCCCCTTCACTGTAAGTCTGGCAAACCTGACTGAGTCCAGGGATGAGACGTGGCCACCAAAGCTCCCAACAGCCCACAGCTGTCTGTGAGGCCTTCGGTGACTTCAAATACCTCTCTCCACCCATTCCTCTCCTTACTGTATGTACATTATTTCTTCAAAAGTTTTGCTATAAAACTGCTCTAAATGTAAAGGGTTCAGCAGTTCTAGCCAGGGGCCTGCTCCCCAAAATCACAACCACAGGGGGGAAGGAGGACTCTACAGATCAGAACACCAAGTTCTCTTTGTAAGTAATTAAAAGAAGATTTGTACATGTACTTTCCTTCACTTCACAATCAAGAAATTTGAGATAGCAGGAAATCAGGAAAATAAAGTAATCCTTCCCTGTTCCTTCCTTTGCTTGTAAAAGAAGTAACTTGTGTCACCTCCCAGAATTGCCAGTGACCTACATAGACTCTAAGCACAGTTTGTCCTCTGAAAGGACAGCAGAATGTGAAAAAAGCCCCATTCCCAAAACCAGAAAAGCACCCCCATACCCAACCAAACAAAAATAAATAGATTCCAAAAGGTACCATCAAATACCAAGTACAGACCTGGGCTCTCAGGCTGCTCTGACAGAGCTCAGGGTTTTCTCTGTCCTCCACAGGGAGGGGCTGAGCAGCTCAGACCAAGAAACAGGTCAGGGGAAAGGGGTGGGTTCTGCACAAACAACTGGCAATCAAGTGAACAAAGAGTCAAACTCATGCTCCAGGCCTGTGCTGTGTCCCTCCAGAAGCATTTCTCCCAAATGCCTCAGTGCTCAGCCCCCTCTGAGGGGTCTCCACACAGGAGAGAGCTCCTCTCCCAACACACAGCAAAACACTGGCATCAACAATTCATTACCATGGCTATTAACTTCTAATTCATTTTTATACCAAAGCGAGCCTGACAGAGGATTCCCAGCCAGGTCCCGTGCTCTAACCTAAAGTAGTTCAGCAAAACTAAAGTTCCATAGTTTTGCAAGCAGCAAAGTAGAAAGTAATGAAGTTGTGGCTAACTGGAGGAGAACTACACATTGGTGAGAGCATGTACAGGTAGTGCAGCACAGCTACTCTGAAAGGAACCAAACCAATGCAGCAGACATGCAGGGTCTGCTAACTTATGTTAAAACCATGTTTGCTGGTGATTAAATATGTCTACAGAAGATATATTACCATTCTGAATATATTTTCAAGCAGACCAAAAATACCTCATCTATTGGTTATGGTGTGTTATTTTTAACTAATTAAATATCAGGAGGGATTTTACCCCCTCCCTCACTATAAAAATTGCACTTATTTTCTATTAAACAAAACAAACAAAATAGAAGATTTCAATTCTATATCCCAGTATATATTCACATGGAAATGGGATCATCTTGCTCTAAGCTTGCAGGAGTAGGTGTAGCAGTCCTTGCTCTCCAGGACTCCCAGCACAGAAAGTCCCACCAGGACAATCCCCTGCTCCCTCTGTGCTCTGGTGACTTCTTCACTGTAGTGCATGGGTTAATTGGGTTTGTGGTTTTTTTTTTTTTGTAAGAAAACCTGAGCTTCAAAAGTCTTTAAAAGGACCTGGAATCAAATCTGGCCCATTCTGACCCAAAACAGCTCAGTTCTGCCAGGAACTCCATCCTGTCCTCGTTTCACACAGCTCCTCCTGAGGCCCCGGGGCTCGGACTGAGGCCAGCGAGGTGTCACCGTCATTGTCACCCCCTTCCCTCCAGTCTCTCCTGGCCCAGGAGCCTTTTGCTGCTTCCGAGGGCTCCTCCTTCCCTCCCTTTAGCGCTGCTGCCTCCTGTAGGGCTGTGAAGGGCTCCCCGTGCCAATAAAAAAGTCTCTCTGCAATAAAGCATGACTTCTTGGACACTGGTGATGAGCTTCCTCTTGCAAAGGCTTCTCCAGCTCATAAAATGTCATCGTAATCCAACAGTTTGGAGTGCTGGCGGGTCTTCCAGAGGCGGTAAAGGCGGAAGTCAAAGTAAGTCTCAATCATTTGCTTACCTAGGAGTGAAACCAGGCAGAGGGGTCACACCCTGAAAGGGGCACGAGGGGGAGGTGACAGCACACAGCAGCACAAACCCCCAGGTTTGTGACACATCCATGGCAAACGCCGACACTGGGCACGTGGAGGGGCCCGTGAGAGCCAAAGATCTTTTCAGATCTCCTCAACCATGAACAGCTCCCTGTAATCCCCTGGCAGGGTTTGTCCCTGGGGGCAGGAACTGAGCACAAAGTCTGTCTCCAGACTTTGAGCTCTCTGCTCTGAGGGCTGAGGGGAGCTGGGGGCTGGAGATGATCAGCCACAGCCTGCATGAGGCACAGGGACTTCAGGGGCTGTAAAACAAGAGCTAACTCCTTGTAAAGAAACACTAAAAATAACTAACACTGAAAATTCCAATTTAAAAATACATATTTTTTTAATAACCAGGCCATCCCTGTCCTGCTCCTGTCTATGCTGCCAGCAATGAGCTCACAGCACACACCAGTGCCAGCTGTGCCCCCCAGCCCCTCTGACTGCAGGGGATCTCACAGGCAGCCAGGAGCTGCATTTGAAAACACAAGGGCAAACAACCCTGCACTCAGACAGAGCTCAAGGAGGGGATTTTCACTTGTGAGGCCTGATTAAGATTAGTTTTAGATGACTTTGCAAAGGATTACAAGGGTACACTCTTAGCATGTCCCAGACTGATCAAGGGGATAAATTCAGACGTATTCTTCAGCCCAGCCTCCTGAAAGCTGAGCTGGTCTAATGCCTGCACACAGAACCCACTGCCTGGCCTGCTGAGCTGCCCACAAACCCAGGAATTTCCCTGCAAGCTGCTCCTGGACACATCCCAGCCTGTTTGCTCCTGTGCAGGCACCATGGGCAGCTGAACTGATCATGCACAGGGAACTGAACATGAACAGAGCCTGGGCTGCAGGGAGGTGTCCCTGCCCATGGATGGGCTGGAACTGGGGGAGCCTGAAGGTCCCTTCCAACCCAAATCAGTCTGTGACTCTGATTCTGTGAGCTCTGTGAGCTCTGTGATTCTCTGAGCTCTGCACACTTGAGCACCAATGTGCTGAACTCCTGCGCATTCCTGAGGGTGAAGGGGAGGTAAGAAAAACCCATCAGGGCTGAGACCAGAGCTGTAGGCAGCAGAGAAGTGCCTACAGCTGAATCCTGCATGGTTTTATTGGCCAAGAACTATAGCCAAGATAAAATAAGAGGGGCAAATTCAGAATCTGTTACTTGTGAAATTGCACTGTGAATTACTGACATTGGACAGGAAAAAACCTGTAGCTTCTTGAAATATCTTGAGCTACAGAAAAAAAAGAGAAAAGGGCCAGCAGAGTGAGCTGTAGAATGGCCCTGATGGGCCACAGCCCCATTGTTTACTGACATAATTCACTTGATGCCAGTGGTTTGAGCTCTGGAGAAGAGACCCCAGCACACCTGGCTACAGAAAGGTTGTGCTCCATGTGCATTTCCCCCACAGACTCCTCATGCCCTAATAATGCTGGGATCTCCTACACCCAGCCTCTCTCCTTCTCTGCATTGCCAGGACCCTGGGAGAGGCCTCAGGCACAACAAACAGCATTTGAAATGTGAACAGATGCAGGAACTGCAAGGAGCAGCAGCTGAGCTACACAAGGTGGTTACATGCAAAACAGAGACCATGGCAGGACTTAAGGGGGTCAAAACTGCTTTTTCATGGAGATGCTCCCCAAAGGAGGCAGACTGGGTAGCAAGGGGGGTGTGTGTGTCTTTGCACAGGAAATAAATTACCTTGAGCTGATAGTTCAAGTGGAGACTCAAAGGCAACCCTATAAGGATTCATTAAGTTTTTCAGATTCTGAAATAGCTGAAAGGAAAACATACCAGAGTTAAGAGCTGAAAACAATGATGATCCTGAGCACCCAGAATTGCCCATCTTGTTCTGGAAAATCTTCCACCCATGTCCTTTAAAACATCTATCTCACCAGTAAATAAACAAACCAAGTGCTTTGAACTGCTCCTCTCCTCAAAGGTTTCATTATTTGTGCTGCACATCACTAATCCTTCCTCCCCTGCCCCACAATCCAGAGGGTTCTCCCACTCACAGCTCCCACAGACAGGACAGCAGCACCTTCCCAGCCAGCACAAGAGGCAGGTTTAGAGCTCCCAGTGTGACCCTGGTCTCCCTGGGCCCAGCAGACATCCCAGGGCTGACCCACAGGCTCCTACCTTCTCCCCATTGGGGTTTCCAAGAACATAGCAGCCCATGATGTGGATGATATTTGGTTCAGGATTGACTTTACTCATCAGCCTGCTCAACCTCTTCCAGAAGCTGGAATAAACAGAACACATAATTAAAATAAAAGTCTCTCCTCATAGGCATGATTAATGCCAAGGATGTGTGTAACAGCACTCAGGCAGGGCCCAAGGTTTGTACTCTGGGCAGGAAACTGCTCAGGAAGGGCCATTGGAGCCCAGACAAGGAAGAACAGGAGCAGAGGCAGGGCCTGAGGAGCAGGTCCAAGTCATCTGGCAGAGAAGGTAGAGGAGCCCACAGAGCCAAGGGAGCTCCAAGGTGAGGAGAAGGGAGCAGAGTCCCCCAGGAGTGCTCTGCAGTGACAGTTTCACCAAGCATCCCCTCCAGCTTCCTCTCTCCCATTTCTATCAACAACTGCCCTTTCTTAACACGAGGCTTATCAGTGCACTGGTTCATTTCCAGGGCATGAAATCAGCAGGAACAGCTGCAGAGATTGTTCTGAGTGAGACAATAGAGCCCAGGCAGCTCCATGTCAGCCTGTGCTTGGTGCTGCTCACAGTCCCCCCCCCTTGATGTGCAGTGACTGTGACCAGGCACTGGGTGCCTGAGGGATGTGAAACACGATCCCCTCCCCTGGGCAGAGGGTTGGAGCAACTTTGGGGGGCTCTAAAGCCCAGAAAATCCTCCCTGGGTGCTCCAACCAGACTGCAGCCTCAGCTTTCCCCAGCACTGCCTCCCAGGACACACAAGCTGGATGGAGACATTCACTTCCAAGCTCCCCAACTTTCAGCTGTGTGTTCACAGCTCCCTGCAGATCCCTGATTTATCAGCTTGGGAGCAGCTCTGCCTGGGATGTGCTCAGAATCCTGGATGTGCTCAGAATCCTGGATGTGCTCAGAATCCTGGATGTGCACACGTGCTGGAGAATTCCACAGCCAGTGTTTGTGCCAGGGCACGAGATTGCTGAGCAGATGTTGATTTTAATGCTCAGTTCTCATGCCAACACAAAGTTGTGTAGGAACAGGTTGGTGTACATCCTCCCCCCACAGCCAGGCACTGTTAGCCAAGCAAGTTTGAGCCAGCACAAGCGAGTAGGCAGCAAAACAGGCAAAGCTTTACTCTCTGCAAGGAGCAGCAAAATTGCTCAGCACTCCCGGCTGAAGGCTGGCGTGTTAGTGAAAAGCCTCCTCAGTAACAGACTGGACTTTGAGCAGGCTTTGCAGAGACAAATTCCATTTCCCCCTGGCCAGAGTCAGCTGTGGGGGAACACCCTGGATTTCTGCCACAGCCACAGCTTAGCAATGGTATCACAGCACCACAGTGCATGTTCTCATTTCTGGTCAGCAAGGCTGTTTTCAGTAGAAGAAATATCTTTTTTTCCCTCCTTTTTGACAGTCTCTATGCACAGAGACACTAAACACATTTAAGAATAAATGTCTTGGTGGCAGGGCTGCAGCACTCCAGGGATGAGCTCAGCTCTGCCACCTTTGCTGTCACCCTGAGTGAGCTGTGAGCTGCTGTTCAATGCCTCCTCAGCCTCCTCATCCCCTGACCAAGCCACCCCAGCTCCCTTCACTTCTCCTGCTCCACCATGTGCTGCAAATATCGAGCAAATCCAGCAGAGAAACACCATGAACACAGCACAGCCACTCACAGGATCAGATCTTCCTCCTTCTCCACTTTGGCGAAAGTGGCGACTTTGTTCTTTAACAAGTATAAGTGCCCGGGGCCTCCCTGCAAGAGACAGACAGACAGACAGACAGATGGAAACCCCTTTGCACAGACCCTGGATGAGTTTCCCGTCCTGCCCAGCCATTCCCAGAAGTGCCACAAGGGAGCAGGGCAGCCCAGCAGTGCAGACACATCCACACACAGGCAGTGTGCTGGGGGCTGCATTCCCTGGTTTTTTGCTGCTCCGTGCCCACATCACTCTAGAAAGGCACAAAAATAAGTTTAAAACGCCACTGTGGGTGGCTGGAGAGTAACAGGGAAGACAAGAAAGTCCCTGTCACTGGGGGATGCTGGGGGTGGGCAGAGGAGCAGCTGAGCACAGCAGGGGCTGCAGCAGGGCTGGCACTGCAGAGGAGCTGCACTGGGGCAGCAGGAGCATGAACAGACTGACACAGCACCAGCAACAGTAATGTCACAATCTCAGGTCAGTGTGCAGCAAAGCTGCTCCTCTGCAGCTCTGGGCACGTGGAGGGAGTTAAGTCAGGTCACCTTTCCCACTTCTCGTGGCACAGCTGCTGGGGAAGCCACAGCTGACCACCACCAGGAATAGCAAACTTGGGAAGGAAATCCCCAGCACCCCCCAAATCCAGCAGGGCCTGGACTGTCCCAGCCACAGCTCCAGCCTGACCCTGCTTCTGCATCCTCTGGCTCCCAGCTGAGCCACCTGCCAGCCTGAGCCACAACCACTGTCACTGTCACACTGAAACTGGATGGAAACCATAACCATGACACTGCAAGCGCTTCTTCCTTCTCCGAAACCCTTTCTAGGTCAGTGCTGATGCTGGTTTGTTTGGGTTCCTTGAGAGAATTAGCCCAGCTCCTGACTTGGCCTCACTAAATCAGGTTTGATTTCCTGCTGTCTCAGCAACTTGGGATCGCTCCATGTCTGGGAAATGGGAAGTGAAAGCTGTGCCTTGGCAGCGACTCTAATGGAAACTGACTTTGGAATATTGGTTCCTCTATGCCACTTTCCCCACAGAAAATGACAAATTTGTAACAAACCACCCAAGTGCTTAACAACTTTCATATACCTGGCAAAATATCAGCATCTTCCAGATTTTGCAGCCTTTCCGATAAATGTTCAGCTTCTTCTCTATTTCCTCTGCAAAAAAAAAACCCAACCAAACAAAACATGTTGGAAAAGATGAACCATGGACAAAGGTCAAAAATAATCTAATTTCTTTACACTTAGTCCTGAGGGCAGGAAGCTGAGCTGAGGGTGCTCAGAACATGCCAAGGATGCAGTGGGAGCAGGGAATGTCAGCAGGTGACAGAGAAAGGATGGAACAGCGCCAGACCCTGCTCTGTGGTGACCACAGCTCTGGAGCAGCCCCAGCCCTCCTGGCCTCTGTCACTGCTCCCACTCCCCACCACAGGTACAATGAACACGCAGCTGCTGCCCTGTGCCTCAGTTTCCCTGCTGCAGACCATGAGTTTAGCACAGAAAACAGGTCCAAGTGAATGTTTATTGCAGCAGCACATCCAAGAGCAGCCAGCTGACTGTCAGGGGTCACTGGGGTGACAAAAACAACTCTGTGAGTGGCAGCTGAAGCACAGGGCAGCTGAGTGACTTAAATATTGATGGTTACATTTGCAATGGGCAGGAGATAGAAAAGGAGGTAAAACTCACGTACCCAGGATGTCATCAAAGGTGGCGTGTTCATGGTCCTGGAAACCAAGAGAGAAGACATGTAAAGGCTCACTGTCACTCCACCAGCTCCCTAATAACCACACAATGCCATTCCAAGGATGCTTTAAGAGCACATTTACACCAACTGATGGCTGTTGGTCACAGCAGCAGTAACCCCCACCCTAAATCACATTTCAGAAGCTGAAGACTGAACAGTCCATGAAGATCAAATCCACCCAAAGCTTGCAGCTGAAGCCTGCAGACACATCCAAAGCACAGACTGTCCCTCAGATGCAGTCAACATCAGCAGTGCCTGTTTGCCTGTGTTTTGCAGCCACTCTCTGGCTCAACCCCTGCTCAAGCTGGCTGACAAACAGCTGCACTCCCAGCACAGCTGCCCCTGCCACAGCAGGGTCAGCAGGAGCACTGAACAACCCTCCAAGGAGAGAGACAAGAGCAGCAAGGCTAAACCCCAGCAGCACAGCCTGCTGCACAGTGGCAGTGCCCTTGCTGGGCTCCCAGTCCCACCCTCCCTTGCAAATTAAGTGATTAGAAAAAGAAACTCATGACTCCTCACTGCTGTATCAGACCCCTGCTCAGGCCAGACTCCCAGGGAAAAGCCAGAGTTAAATTAATGACTGACAGGGACACCCCACTGCCCATGGGGAGATGGGGTTGGTGTTTCACTGCTGGGCTCTGAGTGCTGCTTATCCCAAAAATGAGCATAAGGAGGAGCCCTAAGCCTGGCAATGCCTGCCCTGCCTTCCCTTGGCAATCCTCCCACACAGCCTGGCTGGGCTGCAGAGCTCAGAGCCTACAAGTGCCATTTCCACCACACCTGGCTGTTCCACCTAGACCTGAGCCCCCACAAAGCTCCCCCACACCCCAAAGCTGGGTTCAACACACCTGACAGTTCTTCCAAATCACATCAGCATTTTGGAGTCACCCTAACAGGAACTAGGGAAATAAATAAGTGTCTGCATGACTCGTGCTCTCATCACAGTCGAAGGGATTTACTCACATAGAGAATGGGGATGATGGAGGGGTCGTCCCTGCGGATAATGGTTGGGACATACTCAGCTTTGGGCACCTTGGAAGAGATGAGCTGCAAAGGGGAACAAAGGTGCAACAGCATGAGGAGAAGGCAGCAGAGTCTGGACAGAAGCACAAAGGCCATAAACCCCGTTCAGCTGTCCCAGTGTGACTTGAGGTAGCAGCTAACCCAGTTTAGCCATATCCCATTGGAAAGTTTCCAGCCCAGAGCACCCCCAGGGCTGCTGAGTGCCCTGAGTGCCACATGAGCACAGCTCTGCCCTCAGGCTGCACTGGGCCCAGAACAGGCTGGACAGGGGACACTGGGGTGCACGGAGGATGGAGCAGCTTGTGCACCACCATGGATGGCTGTATCCTGTCACTGTGGTATTTTCTGAAAGATCTCTTCACTGGGATTTCTTCTCCTCAGAAGTTGAGAAGCCTCAGAGAAAAATGTAAATAATAATTATCTGATTTGCTTCTTCTGTGTTTGGCTGCTTTGCAATGTGGTCTGGACATTGTTTACCAACAGGTGCATGTTTGATTGGTTTCATGTGAATTGTTTTTGTGACTTAATGACCAACCACCATCAGATGTGTCGGACTCTGAGGAGTCAGTCACGAGTTTTTATTATTTTTTCTTGTTAAACCTTCTGTCTGTATCCTTCTCTTTCTTTAGTATAGTTTTAGTATAATATAGTATAATATGGTATAACGTAACATAATCATCTGGCCCTGCACCAGGCACAGCAGGCACAGGGCTGCAGGGCTCAGACAGTGCTGACAACTCTGGCCGAAGCCTCAGCTGGCTCCAGCAGCACCAGAGCCTGAACTGTTGTGATTCCAGGCCCCTGAGTTCCAGTGTGGGAGCAGAGCTGGCAGTGGTGCTCAAGTCTCTATTACCAGGGTTAACAAACCTCAGGCTGACTTGGTTCTGTGTTGGTGCCATGTGGCATTCAGATTCTCTGAAAAAATTCCTTCACCCAGGATTTTTCTCCTGGTAACCTCAGAGAAAAGGGAAACAGTTCTTATCCCATTTGCTTCTCCTGTGCTGTGCTCATGTGGAAAGTGTTTGGAGATTGTTTACCCACAGGTGATTGTTCCATTGGATTCTGCTGGGAGTTGTTTTCACTCTTTGGCCAATCAGGGCCAAGCTGTGTCAGGATTCTGGAGAGAGTCAGGAGTTTTCATTTTTACCTTTCTAGCATTCAGTAAGTATCCTTTCTGTATTCTTTAGTATAGTTAGTAAAGTATTCTTTAATATAATATAGTATCATAAAGTAATGAATTAGCCTTGTGAGAACATAGGGTCAGATTCATCATTCCTGCCTTCATTGGGGCATTCCCTGCAAATACAATGGTGTCAGTCCTGCTCTGATTTGGACTACAGATCCCTCCTTCTAGTGTTCTTTCAATGCACTACCCCCAGCAACAACAGATCTGAGCCTGTGTCAAGTCTTGGCTCATCTCTGAGTGACCCTCACAGACCCCCCTGAGGATGTGCCTCAACAACAGACTGCCCGTGAAGATCCTGACCTCAGCAGCACTGAAAGGACAGGCAGAGCATGAGCTGGAAACACTCACCATTATTTTTGGTGGAATAAAGTCTTCTCCGTCACATGCCATGGCTTCAAGTTCCTTTTCTGCTTCCCAGTTCAAGTCAAAGTCACCATCCAGAGTCCCGCAGGAATCCTGAAGGTCATGGCCTGCCAGAACACAGCAGGGAGCATTACAAGGGCAGAACAGCCTTCCCCACTCCATCCTGCCTTGGCAGCTTCCTCACAAGAGGTGCCACGACACTCGTGCTCTCTTGTCACCACAGAGTGACAGACACCACTCTGGGGCTGGTGCCTTCAAACAGACAAACATGTAACAAATGAAGAGTGCACAGAGAGCTCACGGCACGTGTCACAGAACTTCAGCACTCTTGCAGTCACCAAGCTTGGTTTTCAAATGCTGTCACAACAGTCACCCTGTCACTCCAGAAATGGGGAAAGAGACAGAACACAGACAGACTCTCTACACTTCAGCACTGCCAGGCTGATAAGCAAAAGTCCAAAGACTTCAAAGCTGGTCTCCTTGTAGTAATTACTGCTCTGACTACATCTTTTCAGGGATCATAAAGAAAATCTGACTTGTGGGTCAGACTGATCCTGGCAGAGAAGTCTTAGAGCGTGCGTGAGGACAGCTGCAACAAACACAGTCATATTGCAACAGTAGACTTGAACTTGCTCTCCAAATCGACCTTACCTGTTGGCCTTCAATGCCTCCTGGGGAAAAAAACATCTGGAAGGAATATAATTGACCATTAAAGGTTAAAAACAGAGATGATTGCTGGACTGAGGAAAGAGAACCGAGGTGCCGCTGTTTGTGCCTTTGGGATGTCCGAGTGTCGCTGGGCAGTGCCTGGAGCCTGTGTCAACCACGGCTTTCCATGGCTTTCCATGTCTTTCCCATGGCTTTTCCATGGCTTTTCCATCTGCCTCCGGGCAGCTGAGGGAGCAGGGAGGAGTCAGACTGCCAAACAACAGGGTCATGTTGTGAACCTGGCCTTTCATACACCTCCCCTTGCAACCTGGTCTTCTACAGCTAGCAGGGCCAGATCTCGTGCTTACCTGGTAGATCAGGTCATTTCATTAGTGAAATTCACTTCAACATGGGCAAACTCATATCCACCAAGCTCCTGCCTACAGGCTTGCAATAAAATCTGTGTAAAACAGCCACTCCCTTTATAAGAATACAGATGCTGGCATTCCTTCCTGTAAATGAACACAACAGCATCTCAGTCCCCTCAAGCAGAACATGGCAGCATTACTGGGGATTCCCAGAGGGATTCCTGGCAGCCCAAATGAAGATCAGATTGCCCCCAGCTATCACCTGTGCAGGAAATCAAAGCTCCATGTCATCAGCTGTATTCTTGAGCTATTCCAGGCTAGGAAAGAGCTCAGAAGGGGCTCCTGCATGGGAAGCCACGTTAGCCCCACTATGGTGAAGGCAGCCTTGGACTGGTGAGTTTCCAGAGAGGTTGTTTTGGTGCCAAGAGGATAAGGGATGATGGGAACAGAGTAAGAGAGTTGTACCACTGGGTACCCTTTGGCAACTGCTCAATAATCTGAGGTTGGATGAGTGGTGCTCTACAAATAAATACAGGTACACACAGATGAACAGGTACATACACCTGGAGCGTTACCTGCTCCGATCTCAGGAAACTAAAAAAGGATCACAGACAGGACAGAGGGCACAGAGGAGTTACTCCAGTGGGACTCCAGCCAACAACTGCTGGAGGGTCTGCCCACAGGAGGAAGCTCAAAGGACTCAGAACTCACTTTCTCGAGAGTCATGGAAGGAATCAGCTTTGATGGGAGTCGGGTCACTCCAGGACCTGCTGAAGCTCCTCTCACGCCGTTCGGCAAATGCTAAAGGATAAAACCAGAGCACGACATTAACAGATCCCAAAGCACCTCTGCTGCTGCCAGCAAACAAATCATCCAGCAGATTGCCACCAAAGCCACACACCACAGACTCCCTTGGATTGCTCCTTCCATTTGCCAAACGTGAGTCCTTTCCACACAGCAGAGACAAGTGCCCACTTGTGCACAGGATGGGACATGGAACACAGAAAAAGGACAACACTTGATGGTCTCTCCTCAAATGCACACAGCTCAAACCTCAATTTAACCAAGGCCAGTCCAGTGTCCCAGTGTAAGTGCTCAGATTCCAAGGCCTCACAGAAATATGCACTGCAACACCTGCATGGCCAGAAGGCAGCTGTAGTGCTCCAGTAAGTTCTCCCTTCATGTTCTACTGGCATCCCAGTCAGAGCTGGACCAAACAGCAGGGAGGGGATGTCTCTGGAAAGCTCACGCTTTCTACATTTTGTTGCAAAAGAGGAAATCCTTCAGCCTTTGCTTGCCTGCACTCTTGTGAGCACTACTCATGGCTTTTTTTCCTCCCAAGGAGTGCTGTATTGTTTGCACTGGTATTTCCCAAGCACAAACCAAGCTTGGCTCAGACGGCTGCACCGCAGGCAAATTCCTGGGAACTGGCAACCACCGTGTCTGACTTGGCAAGCCCATGTGAGAGCCATTATGCCAGGATTAACAGCCACTTATGGGCACTAATACCTATTTCTGGTGGCAGACAGAGTGTGCAGCAGGGAATTGAGTAACAGCAGCACAGGAATTCACTGCAGATCAGCACCACAAGAGCAGCCTGTCCCCTGCTGAAGTGTGGCCAGGGTGGGTGTCTGGGGAGACAAATGATGTCTTCAGTTCTTCAGGTGATCTCCATCCTCAGCTTTCAGACAAACCCAGGCATTTAGCTACTGTGCACAGAAAGAAAACATGACCCAAGAGTTCCTGAGGCAGAGCCAAGCCTGAGTTTCACAGAGGTAAGCCCTGTCCACGTCAGGCAGTGCTAACTCAGATGCCAGTGAAGACTCTGGAAAGGGCAAAGCTCTTTGCTGATCACTTCCCATAGCACATGAGAAAGGAAAGAATGCAAATTGAACTCAGCTACGTTTTGCTGTGGGCACTCTGTACATGATGCCTGGCCAGGGAGGTTGGGAAGAACAAGATGCTTTCTCTTCTGGAGCAATCCTCAGCTCCCAGGAGCAGGTTACGCCACTTTCACAGCACTAAGGGAGTTGCCCAACCAAGTTTTGGAGGATTATTGCTTTCACCAGGGAAAGAGAACTGCAATTTTGCAGGCCTAAGAGGTGATTTCTTCCCCAGTGAGGCATAACATTCTCTGATTTGCCCCTTGCTCCAATCTCTTCTCTGATCCTCTTCTTTCTTCCTTCCACCATCATCTCAGTTCCCACCAGGTAACTCTCCCCCAGGGCCAGCTGTGGAGATGACAGTGGGACAGGGCAGGAGGGGACAGCCAGCAGTCTGTGTGGCACATGGAGCCACAGCTGGTCACAGCTGCAGAGAGAGGCCAGGCAGCTCTGAACTCCCAGCCCCAGTTCTCCTCACTGGTCTCCACCCCAGTGATCACCAAAATCCACACAGGGGACAAGGATGCTGCAGCTTTCCTTCCATGCCTTGCACCTGAGATGTCCCACAGCCACAGCAGAGGGTCCTTGGGAACAGCCCCCAGGCTGCTGCAGGCATCCACATGTCCTGGACACTCACAACCACCTGATCTTCTTGTTTGTAGGGTAAAATGGCACCAACAGGTCAATTCCTCTCTCCAGCCCAAAGCCAGGTCCTTTCAACCCACATCTGCATGTGACAGAATGCCCACAGAGCCCACAGAGCCCAGCTCCTCACAGCCACACTCCCAGTGCTCACTTACTTTGTGCTTTAACCCTTCGGCTCCCCACCATGCGGAGGTGCTTCCGAAAATTCCTGCAAGAAAGGCCAAACACAACCTTTGAGAAAGGAGACAAGAAGCAACACCTGGGCCCAGCAGGGCTGTGAAAACAGAGAGGAAGAAAATAAAATGGGGATGATGGCATATTTCCCTCTGGGCATTCCAAAGCTGGAGACCAGGTCCCCAGCCTGCAGTGGTTTAGTGCTGGGATGGTGATGTTCATTGAGTGGGGCTGTTCTGAGCTCCCTGGGCTGCTGGTACAGGGCAAGTGGGGTCCCACAGGGCAGCCCCCTGCTCATGGCTGCTTTCCCTTTCCTCTGATTAAGCTTTACCTGTGCTGTATTTGCTGAGGACAGCCACTGCTGGCTGTGCTCCCTCTTTTCCTGGTGCAGTAACTGCTCCCCTCTCTCCAGCACAATGTGGGGTGCCCAGCTCTGCACACTGGGGGCCGTGCTCACTCCCAAACACAGCTCCTAAAACCCCTCCTGTGCTGTTGGTAACCATGCAGCTCCTGCTGCTCTCCAGGCACAGCTGGGGAGGACCAAAGCACGTTCTCCCTCCTTGCACAGCAGAGTTCAGTGATGCTGCTTGTCCCCATGGGCCTGCTCTCCCCGTGTGCTGCCCTGGCCTGGCCTCACAGGCAGGTCCAGAGGGGCTGCAGAGCACACAGCTCCAGGGGAAAGCCCTGGGGAGCAGCTACACCCCAGCAGAGCACACAGCTGCAGGGGAAAGCCCTGGGGAGCAGCTGCACCCCAGAGCCAGCTCTGTGTGAAACAGAATGTCCTGGCCACTCCTCAGAGGCCATGGCCAAGGGACTCTGTCCAGCCCCTCCAAGTGCAAGGGACCAGATTCTCTCAGTTTCTCATCACTCATGAGGCAGGAACAGGACAGGACCAAACAGGACACCAGAAGAGACGGGGAGAAGCAGCATCAAGAGCAGTGTCACCTCTCCATGAACCCTTTTTAGTGACTGTGGCTTCACCCCATGCACTGGGCACCCTGCAGTGGGGGAGCCTTCCTGGATTCCTTGTGGCCCCCAACACACAGGGCAAACACCAGGCAACAGAGACCACAGCTGGTGAAAGGGGTAAGTGACAGGTTGTCTGGCTCACACACAGGTTAGTGGGATGAGTAAGGACATGGTACAACCATGCAGATGCTTCAGCAAACTGACTGGAACAAAAGACACTCCCAGCACTGACAAGAAGTTGTTCAGAGGAACTCGGATCCATCTGCTCCTATCCAGGAGATCCACACAAACACAGTCCTCATGGAGAGCACTGCACCCACGTCACCTCCTGCACTTCCCCTCCTTGGCCTGGGAGCCCTTCTTGTCATCAGGCTCCAAATTCAGCAAGAAGCAAAACCAGCAGCTGGGAGCAGCATTGTTCCATGCCAAACTTCTGTCTACACTTGGGCGATTAATGTTTCCCAAAGATTTATTTTGTGTCTACTTGGGTCCATGAAGATTCACTGCTGTGGATGAGACAAGCGCTCCTTTAGGCACATCCCTGGCCTAGCTCTTTGTACAAAGCCTTCTGGGGTGCACCATCACTTACAGTGCATTCCATTAAAATCCAAATAAATACAGCATTTTGAAGGAACCAGGGCTGTTCTTTACACAAAGAAGTCTCAGACATATGTTATATGGAAATCTTTATGGTCTGTTGTGAGCCTGAGATCACAGCAGACACTCAGCACCACTGTTAACTGCCCAAGGCCACTGTTACATACTTTGGGCTTTTGGCATTTTGGAGTAAAACTCACTTTTCTTTTAAATGCTCAGCTGTCCTCTCCACAGAGGAGTTTCTTCAGACCCTGGGGGAAGAGGGGTAAAGCAGCCTTTGCCATAGAAGAAGGTTGCTCCCAGCTGCCTGGACAGCTTGGGCTCTCCCTTGAGAGACCTAAATACATCTCCTAAACTGCTAAGAGCAGCTCCAAGGAGAATCCAGCTGTTCAAGGTTAACCACTGCACTAAACACTCACAGAATGGGACAAAGGCCTTTTGCTCCATCTATTTTCTTCTAGAAAAAACAGCCCTTTGGAAAAGAAGTGCAAATCTGGGACTGCATCCTAATGTGGCCATGCTGGGAACATCTAGATCCTTCTGAGGGCTTCTTGCAGCTGCCTGGCTCCTCAGGCTCCTCTGTGCCTGCATGTCAGCATGACAGGCCCTGGAAAAGCTGCAAACAGCTCTGTCAGCAATGGGGATCCCTAAACCTGCCCAGGAACCCTGAGACACTTGATCACTTGCAAGATCCCTTCACCCATCATGACACAACCAGAATGCCTCAAGTTTCAGTGATGAAATCTCCTTACCACTTCCTTTTGTGCTCTGCTCCAGTGTGCCTCACGGTCTGCATGGCCCCATGGCACCTCCAGGGCATCCATCCCAGCCAGAGGGGCTCCAAGGCACTGCAGTCCCTCTCCACCCTGCAGCTCTGCCTGCAGTGGGGCACCCACCCCACTCTGCCCAGAAGCTTTTCCCTGCCCAAACTCCTGACAGCACCTCTCACACTCCCCTCTCTGGCTGCTCCTGCAGTGGGCACAGCTCTGGGCATCCCTCACTCCACAGGCAGCATCCCTGTGGCCACACCACACATCCCAGCCTCCCTGGACACCAGCCAGCACTGAAGGGGCTGTGTGAGAACGGCTGAACCCTGAAACACCACCAAGGGCTGCACAGCAAACACCAAACCCACAGCGGGGTTCTCCTCACTCCCTGCAGGACAGGGCTGAGCTCTGCCAGCAATCCCTGCACCAGAGCCCTCCTCTGCTGTCACCTCCTTGCTGGGACAGGCAGGCACAGCCAGGCTCCCTGCACTGTGCTCAGCAGGAGCAGGGACATGGCTGGGGTGAGGCCATCCTCCCTCCTGACCACACAGCCCCACCAAGGCTCACAGCTGCTCCTGTACTCACACACCATTTCCCAACCAAGACCTGCCTCTGGCTAACAAATTCTGAGAAATCTCTCTTTTTAAAGATACACTGTCTGTTTGTTTAGAGTGTCTTTAGTTTGGATTTTTATTTCTCTTTGTTATTGATGAAAACAACCTCACCACTCTGAAGTTGCTATAAAAAATATTGCCTGGCAATTTCTCATTTAAGAAAATCTGATGTTTTTCTCCCACTTGGTTTTGAACAGTGCTGAAGTGATCATGGTAGTTTTAAACCAATTATACAAATACTGTGTTATCCTTTTTAGTAGGCTGCCACAACTCTGGGCACATTTAAAAAACCAAACCAGTTCTGATTCCTACTGTGAGTAAATGATGTGCCATAGGAAGCCTGCAGAAGGAAACCAGGCTTTTCTGTAATATCTGGACAAGGAATCAGTCCCCATCCACTTTTACTTCCCTTGTATTATTGAAAAAAAATAAGACTTAAAAATAGACTTCTGGTCACTAGAGATGTCAGTTTTGCCTAGGTCTCAGATTTTTGAGGTGCATTTGTACATGCAGTAACAGCACATACAGTATTCATCTAACCTCAAACAAATTCCTGCCTGTGGCAGGGGACTTGGAACTAGATCATAATTTAGCTTTCTTCCAATCCAAACCATTCTGTGATGATACGAAATTCCAAGTTGGCATGGGGAAATTGCATCTTTAATTTTTTAAGTATGTATTTTTCTGCCTGAGGCACAGATCATGTGGAATGCTAAAAGCAACTTGACAGTGTTCTTTAAGAAGAGGGAGATCAGCTATGCTAAGCATCGTCCACCTGCACAGCTCCAGCAGAGGCACTGCCAGTGTCCCCAGGACAGCACAGAGACAGGGACAGCCACAGTCAATGGCACCAGGGTTCAGCAGTGACCCCAAGGGCCCATGCAACAGCAGGTCACAGCTGTGGGGACGGGCCCTACCTCTGGATAAGAGCTGCAGAATCATTCTCTCGTTTCCGTCTCTTCCTCTCTGCGTAGCCCCTGAACGCCCTGGGGAACCACGGCAAGCCATTAACCAGGTCCAGCTTGGAGGGGACAAGGGACACACAGAGGGGAGCTCTGGGCAGACAACAGAGGCTGAGCTGCCCAGGGGGTGGGCAGCACCACGTGTGGGTCAGGGCATTCAGAACACAGCTCCTCACCCACCTGGGCTGCTCCTCAAACATGGCCCAAGGGAGCACCCCCATCCCTGGGCTGCACCTCAAACATCAGAACATGGCCCAAAGGAGCACCCACCATCCTTGGGCTGCACCTCAATCAGAACATGGCCCAAACGAGCAACCACCATCCCTGGGGTGCCCCTCAAACATGGCCCAGAGGAGCAGCCACCATCCCTGGGGTGCCCCTCAAACATCAGAACCCAAAGGAGCAGCCATCATCCCTGCTCTGCAGAAAGGACCTGGGAGCTGCAGCCACACCCTCTCTGCACACCAGCATTGAGAGGGACTCCTCTCCACTTCCAAGTGTGCCAGTGCCTAAGGGCTGCACTCAGAGGATGAGGATGGTTTGGTGGGATCCGTGTAGGCCCACCAGGTGTAGCCACCTGACTTCCAGCCAGCTGACAGAGCCCCTAGCACAGGGAAGCATGAGTGAATATGATGGACAGGAGAGGAGAGTTTAGCTAGGACACCAACAGACAAGGAAATAAAAAAAAAATAAGATTATACTTACGAGATGCTAGAGATTCCAGGAGATGCAGAGAAAAAGAGAGAAAAGAGGAATTTATTAGTGCTCAGCCCCAGCCAGCGTTCTGAGGGAATTCTCACTCCAGAAGGAATATATCTTGTTAGGTGGAAGGAAATTGCTTTTTAAATTAAACATTTCTCAGTGGTGAGACTCCTCCTTGACTGAGCTTAATCCTCCCTGGGGCAGGGCTGACATGTGGCTTGGATGCAAAGTGAGCTCCACACAGACCCAGAGGATGAGCAGATGTACAAGAGCTGAGTGTGGCCTGTCAGGCTGCAGAACCACGAGCTCCTGGAGCAGGGAGAGCTGCTCCCACCGTGGCAAACACTGCTGAAGGTGGCTCATGCTGCTGCTCCACGAAGGGAGCGAGCACAGCGGGTTGAAAACACTGGAACAGAGGCCAAGGGCACCTGGAGAGCCACCCCAGCACTTTGTGGATTTCTGGAGGAGTTTCTGTGTCACTTCTAGAGGCAGCACAGAAGCCCAGAAATGTTAACCAAGGAGCCACATCTACCAAGGGAGTTGTGCTCCTCCATGGTTCCCTCAGGGCACCATTCCCCAAACCAACCCCAGGATGGCCTCCAAGCCTTGCAAGCCCAGCCATGGGCCATCATCCTGCAACAAATCTGCCCAGAAAATAGAAATTCAGACAGCAAAGGCTGTGTCCAAATGTGCTGATTTTGCTGATGGTTTGTGGGTCAGATCAGAACTGTGATATACCATTGACTGTTATCAGACAATATCTTTTAAATGTTTTTTTTTCTGGGGGATGCAGCTACCCCACTCCTGAACTCCAGATCCAGCCCTCCCTGCATGAGTCCTTCCAGGTCTGGTCCAGTCTGGGTTATCCCAAGGAAAATAACCAGCCTCTTTTCAGGATTTGGGGAGAGAAAGGAAAGAAATGTCAGAGAAACAAGAGTACAAAAAGGACACGAGATTAAACAAGAAGAAACAGAGCCAGAGGGCTAAGGGTGTCCCAGACATTGGAAGAAACACACAGGAAAAAGGTGACAAGGCTGGGGAAGGGCCTTGGAAGGCAGAACAGCATCTTGTTTTCCTCTCTGCTTGCCTTGGTTTTCCAGTCAGGTGGGAAATACTCAGAAGCAGGAAGGCAGCACTGCCTGGCAAGCTGGCAAACCTGGGGAGGAGGCTTCCCTCACTCTCCTAAGCCCTTTGAGAGCTGCCTCCTCCCAGACTCAGCACCCAGGAGCCTGCATGGAGTGTGGAGGGAGAGGCTCCTCCTAACTCACACCCCTTCACACTTTGCAGGCATTTTACTGACACTTTCTCACACACACAGAGCTGCAGGGCTTCCCTATCCCAGAGAAAGGCACCTCTGGGGAGTGAGGGATGCAGGGCAAGCCTGGAACACCCTTCCCTTGGGGAGTGAGTGCAGCAGCAGCAGCTGGTGGAGGGCCTCAGGGGGTGACCCACAGGAGCCTTGCTCTGAGAGGCAGCCAGGCACAGAGTCACAGACAAATCAGGGAACAGAGGAGAGCAGGGTACCCAAAGAGTTAAAGAAGGTAAAACCAAACAAATGAGAGCAGTAGAGAAGAATAGTAAGTAGGAAAGAAAATTAACAAGAGACAAATTTCTCTCTTATCCCTGAACAGTGATGCAAAACACACAACTCCTGCTCCAGGCTCTGAGTTTTGAGCAGGTCCAGACCCTGAGACACAGAACAAAAGCCACAGCAGAGGTTGCACTTACGCTTGCATAGTTGTGGTAGCAGTGTGAAAACTGAAGAGGTTCTCCTTTGGGAACCAGGTTCGTATGGGGACATCATCTGCAAGAGACAGAGAGAGAGCCTGAGCACCCAGCAGGCACAGACACCCCTCAGACAGCCACATTTCCTCCCCAGGCTCCTTCTCTCAGGGCTTTCCTTCAGCATCCTGCCCTGGCTGAACAGTTCAAGTCTCATCCTCCTCATGCAATTGCACACTGCCTCTGAGTGTTCTGTAAATTCCTGCTAAGCCTGTCTATCAGGCTACTAAGTGAAGAATAAAAGCTCCATCTTAAACATTGGAGATTAGAATAATCCAGGAATTACAGAACTGACATTTGAACTAGGAAAAAAACCCAAGGAAATGAAACGTTTTTCATTTAAAGCATTTTCCTGTCTCTGCCTTTTCCCTTCTATAATTGATTTAAACTGTCCCATTCCTCCAGTTCTTTCTGCTACAGCCTAGTGATGAAAAGCATTTACCTTCCACTGAGAACAGTAAGCCTGAAATATCCTCTCTTTTTCTGCCATTGAAGTTTCAATAAACCCCTCTCACACCTGCTCCTGGTGACTTGGCCTTCAGGAGCTCCCCTGGTTTGGAAGTCAAAGCACCATCAGCTCCACAACCTGCAGGTAACTGAGCTGATTTAGTCACTTCTCTTTGTAAAGTGCCCTGCCCAAACCAATTGTGGGGTGTTTTTTCCCTATTTCCAGGGCATCAGAACACTGCATCACCTTCACTAAAAGCAAAATAAGTCACCAATTATGCGTGTGGTGACCAGGAGGAGGAACCTGCCCAAGCAGCAGCTGCTGCTGAGAACTCTCAGGCTGGAGTCAGGCAGGCAGGGAATCAGAGGGGTACTGAAACCCACTGCCACAACACTTGTGAGAGCTCAGTGGACTGCATTCCTGGGGCTGGGGCTATCTGATTTTTCATCCTGTTTCACACCCAATTTGTGACTCCCTTCCCTAATGCCTTGCCCCATGTTGCTGATTGTGTCTTGCCTCAGTCATTCAAGTCTTCAGATGTGATAATATTTAATATTCTGGCATTGTCAAGGTATATTTTAAATCACTTTGGCCCAAGCCCAGTCAAACTCCACATGCCCACTGCAGGCATAATCACTACAGACCAGCTATCTTAGCAAATGTTTTGCTCAGATCATCATATCCTACAGATTACTCCCTGAAAGTACAGAAAGTGGCTGCAATTACAGATGCAAAAAATGCTAACTGCAGCTGGGGAGCCTTCCTTTGAAGTGCAGCTTCCAAGAAATCTATAGAAAGCTGTAGCAGACACTCCTCAGCTCACAGTTTACGTCAAGTCTTGTTTAAAGGCACTCCAAGGAAATATAGATGTTAAATGAAACTGCATTCCAGTGTGCTAAAGCCTCCTGCTGCAGTCCCAAACTCTGCTCTCCTCCAAAACACAGAGACAGAAGCAAAGCAGAACAACTCAGACTGTAAATGAGTTACTTGTTTGAAACCTCCAACCCACAGAAATGGCGAAGGAGAAGTTGTACAAATTCCTTTTTAGCCAACAATTCTGTATTGGCTTCTCAGGGACTGCTCATCTCAAAGGACTGACAGGCTCCTCATATGTTTTACAGTTCTTAAGCCACAGGGTTTGGTTCAAAGCAGAGCTTATGAACAACAGCTAATATATCCTGAGGAGGCTTTGCCTGCCCTATCACTGGGAGTTTTCTCTCCTTTTCTCATAGACTCAAGTTCACTTAGGAAAATACCCCTAATGAGGGGCACTCAATGAGGAATAAAGGATTTGGGGCCCTTCAGAGGGTAGGACATCAGCAGAGGAGCTCACAGGTGAGGACTGGGCAGCACAACTCAGCTCCAGAGCTCATTCACCACATTAAAATTCAGATCATGGGCATGGCTGCTGCTGCCAGGAGCAGGCAGCACATCCTTTCTGGCCAGGCAGAGCAGCTTGGTCTCCTTTCCTTTCACCATCAACTGTGAGGAAACTGTGGAGGAGCTGGGGCCTGGTAAGACTGGAGGGACACCACCACATCCAGCATCTCCAGCTGCTTTCCACTGCACCCAAATCCCAGCACCTCTGTCCATAGGGGATGTGTCTGCTCCTGGGAGCAGCGAGGAGATGACAGCCTGTGCTCCCCTGGAATGGTGTCAGGCATCACAAACTCACCATCAAAACCCACATTCAGTGATGCCAATGGGGCCTGGCTGCCACAAGGGCTGGTTTGCAGCAGCCACTTGTCATGTGGATGCAAACAGCAGCAGCACTGTCAGGTGAGCCCTGGGGAAATCAGCCTCTCCTGCCTCCACTGCTCTCTGCTCCCTTTCCTTGCTAGCCAGGCAGGAAGGACATGCCAGGGAATTCCTGCAAGCTGTGGCACTTGTGCTGTTCAATTCTGGGATTATCTCTGAGTGGCAGCACTTCAATAGAGAGTGCAAATAAGACCAAGCTCAGGGAACTCTCCCTCCATGGTGCCCGTGCTGGGATGGAAATTGGGCTGGGGGACACAGCCCTGCCTGTGCAGCCACACATGTCAGGATCCAGAGGCTTGAGGTGAGCACCCAGGGGAGCTGCTGAAACATGGAATGCCCATGGGGGCATCCACAGCTCCTGCACTGGCCACTTTGCTCCCATTTAAGTGACTACTCTGACACATTTTCAGACAGACCAATCTCCACCCCACACTGATGACTGCCCCCAGTGACAATGGCTGCCTGGCCGAAAACAAACACTGAATTCCAAGGCCCAGTAACAGCATCTCCCTGCAGGAATCACCAGCACAGCTTTCCCAGCAAACACAGCTCCAGCTATGAGGAGCTAAACCCCTCCATTAATGCTGTGGAGATTTCCCTTGCTTCTGTATCAAGTAATCCCTTCAGTCCCACAGTGCAATTCTGATTTGTCCAGGTGTGCTAGTTTGGCTGGGATAAAGCTCATTTTATTCACAGGAGCTCACATGGGGCACATGCAGTGTCTGCTGTGAATCCCAAAAAGTCCCAGAGAACAGAGGAACAATGCCTAAAAATCATGCACAGGATTTCAGGGGCTTTTCCACACCTTTCACAATCAGCTATTTTCATTGCTATTCTTCAGTTTAAACCATATATTAATGTAGCCACATAATTTCAGGTATCTAGGCATGGTAAGACTGGAGGGACACCACTACCCTCCAGGTGGTCCAGGACCCAAACCTTTGGTGATTATACCTGTGGTAAACATCACTGCAGTATTTATCAGAAAACTCTGAACCCAGGGAAGCTGGACAGTTTGATCTGCACAGTCCTTACACAGTTTCTTTTCAAGGAGAAACCCCTGACCTTTCCTGGCCAGACTCTCTGCTCTAAGTGCCTTGATGTGTGTTTACGGAAAAACTCAGACAAATTGGGCCAGACTCTTTGCCAGCCACATACAGGCAAAGATGGACTGCACATCCAGTCCAGTTTATAATTCAAAACATGCAGACTGTGACATATACTTGATTAATGGTTCATTTTTTAAAGACTTTTTTTTTTTAATGGAATGGAATAATTACAAGCACTCTTGTAATTGAGAGAGCATTAAGCAAAGAAGAAAGGAGGGAAAAAGTCCAACACTATGTTATTTGCCAATATTTGTAGGAAGCCCATGAGGTGGCACTACATGAGTGGCAGCCAGCCCTGCAAACAAGAATTTTGGGAACACACCAAAGTGCATAATACCATAACTTGAGGCTCCCACAGAGCAGTTCAGAAAGATTTCCCCTGCCCAGCAAGAGGCAGAGAGAGGATCCTGCTCTGAACTGCCTCTGGGATGAGCATGGATGCAAGGTTTTGACATAGTCCTTCCTCTTCTGCTATTCCTCCACAGAAAAGGAGCCCACTGAGCTGCATGAAGTCAGGAAAACCACTCAGAGCAGCCTCTGATGACCAGGAGCTAGGATGAGCTGGCCCCCAACTGAGCTCAGCTTACTGCAAACCCATCTTTTGACAATCCCTTTCCAGGAATGCTGTCCCACAGTACCAGAAGGGCCCCAGATCAAAACCCCTGTGCTGGGATGAGATGGGTGTCACCTTTTGTGTCCCCCAGTGTGGTGGCTGACAGCCTGGTCAGAGGGACAGAGTCAGATAAACTTTCCCAGACATTCCTGTGGGAAGTTTTGAGAAAGCTCAGAGAAAGAATTAAAACAAACCTGCAGCTGGTGTTTTGATTGTAAAATGTGTTGTTAATTGTAAAGTGTTTACAAGAAGGGTGCTGTTCCTAATTAGCCAGTGCTGTGAGGAGTATTAATTAAAAACAAATCAAGTCCACCTTTATCATAACTGTCAATATCCTAGGGTGACATTATGATGCTTGTATCCCATCTGTGTGTTCTGTTTATGCTGGATATCTGTTCTGTGCCTTCAAGACTGGCTCTGAAGAGTGAAAGTTTTGTTTTGGTTTCTTATCAGCCGCTCCCCCACGGCTGGTGGGACACAGAGACAGGGCAGTGCATGGTGCTGCTTTTGCTTTTTGCTTTGCTCTTGCTTCTGCTCATTAGCCAGTTTAGTTAAACAGTCCAAATTTCTTCCTGGACTGTTTCTCCTTTCCCTTTTTTGGACCTACTCGAGCCTGCTCCAGACTGGGATCTGGGAACACCGAGAGTTTGCACCTTGTGGCTGCAGCAGCTGCCCCAGCACAGGAGGGACTGAGAACAGAGCGACCATCCCCAGAGAGACTTTATGAATTTGTCATCTTTTTCAGAGCAGTGAAAGAGTGGTGTCAGCTGGTATTGTTCATTCTGTGTGCTGGGGGTGCTGTGCCTGTTAAACAAACAGGTTCTTTCCACTTCTCTCCAAGGAATCCTTTGCAATTCGGTTGGGGGAAGGGGCCATGTGGGTTTGCTTTCTGGAGGGGCCCCTTTGGAGATTCTCTCCCAAATTTGCCCTAAACCAGGACAGTCTATTAAAAAAAGTGCAATTTCTAATAAACTTTGCATTTTACCTTCTGAGACCTTAGAGTCCATAGATCACTTTATTCACCCACCCTCACTACAACAATAACGACAACCCAGCAGTCACTTACCAGACACTCGATCCACACTGTACATCCTCTCCAGCCTTTTCCTGTGCCACCCAGCCTCGCCAGGTGGGTGCTGCTCCAGCTCGATGGACTGCTGGGAAGGGGCAGCCAGCCTGGAGCAGTTGGGGCACTCCTTGGAGCCCTGGCGGCCGCCGGGCCAGGCCTTGCAGTGGCGGACGCCGTGCGAGCCGGCGGCGCCGTGCGCGTGGTGCCCGTGGTGGCACTCCTCGTGGGCAGCTCCCTTCATCACCACCAGCTCCATGCTGTCGTTCTCGTGCTCCGACAGCATGGGCCTCTCCCCAGAGATGGTGTACACCCGTGGCTTGGGGCCCTCGCTCGGCAGCTTCTCCGCCTGCTCCTCGGTGAAGCTCCTCTCGAATTTGCCGTCCGAGATGACCGAGAGCCTGCGCTTGTTCTGGGCCACCTGCTGCAGCTCAGGGGAGTCCTCCTGCCCGATGTAGGAGTCTGCTAGCAGGTGATCTGAAACAAAAGGCATGTTTTCCTTAAAGCAAAGCCACACAGACACTGGCAAATCCAGGAGCTCTTTGTTACTGCTGTGTAGGGGAGACAGACACAGGAGGTCCCTGCAGGAACCGTTTCAGATGAATGTGTGCCCATCACCACCTTCTAAACCTCTATGGCAGGCTGTGATGGTGTTCACAGGGGTTGTCAGATGAGGGAAGAGATGAGAATGTTGACTCCATGTTCAGAAGGCTTGATTTTTTATTTTATGATATATACATTACATTATAACTATACTAAAAAGAATAGAAGGAAAAGCTTCATCTCAGAAGGCTGGCTAAGCTAAGAATAGAAAGGAATGAATAATAAATGTTTGTGTCTCAGACAGAGAGTCCAAGCTAACTGGGCTGTGATTGGCCATTAGTTGTAAACATCCAACATGGGCCAATCACAGATGCACCTGTTGCATTCCACAGCAGCAGATAATCTTCGTTTACATTTTGTTCTTGAGGCCTCTCAGCTTCTCAGGGAAAAAAATCCTAGGAAAGGATTTTTAATGAAAATATGTCTGTGACAGCAGGCATTGAAATGAGAGACAAACCACGACAGAGATAAACCTCTTCTCACAGACAGGCCCAATATTTTACACATGTGTGGCCACCCAACAACTCTAGTAGCAAATGTAGGTCTCAGTGCACAGCCTGAAAATGCTGCCATGCAAGACAGCCCTGGTCCAGCTGCAGCCCTGCTCAGCCACACGAGGGCTACGGAGCTGGTGACAGTCTGCGGGACAAGACCAGCACAACCTTCTCCAAGTGCCAAACTCCGAGTGCTTGGTGCATTAAGCTCTTTCAGAACACTGGCAAAGGGGCAAACCAACAAGGTTTGTTTGTTTGTTTCCCCTCCTGATTTTCTGCCAGGTGGTTTGACATGAAAGAGATGCAGCAAGGCTTCAGCTGGCAGCTGCAGCACAGCACCCCGCTCGCGGCACGCCCCGGTCTCACAGATGGCCACAGCTTGGAGCTGTCCTGGAAGAAAACACAGCCGCTCCCTGTGCAGGGTAGGAAGATCCAAGGGAGACAGGCCCATGAGTGCAACTATCTTTGGAGCCCACACACTGGATGAAGTGCCAGGAAATCTCAGCATTTCCATGGCAATTCCATGCATGAACCCAACAGTAGCTCCCACCCACCTGCTAATCCTTTTTCAAGTGGCTGTTAATTACCTCTTACACTTCCCTTCAGATGGGAAGCAGCTCAGGGACTGGCAAAAAGGCTCAGCAGGGAAGGCATTATTTATGTGACTGCTACCCAAAAAATGAAATCATTAGTGTCCAGCACAGACAGAAGCACTTAAAACAGAGGCAGAAAGCAAATCCAAGCCTTTACTTCAGTAAATATTTATGGAACATAACTTCTTTGGCTACTGAGCCATGACCTAGAAGAACTCATCCACAATTTGAAGGCTTGGCTACCTTGCAAATGGCCATGAAGTGAAGGAGGAAGAGGAGAATGACCTCTAGACAAGAGTGGCAGTGTATGTGTGTAACACAGATCTTTCACTGCTGCCACATTCTGCTGCCCATGAAGTGCTCCTGTGCCCCTCTGAGAGGAGCCCTCCTAAACTGAGGCCATACACAGTCAGCTTTTGAATCTGAAATCCATCCTGGAAAATGCTCACACTGCCCAGGGCCTCTCCCCCTGCTCTGCTTGCAACCAGAACTGAGTTAGTACTGGTACAGGGTGTCACCCTTGGCTCATTTTTCTGCTTGAGATACAACCTCCTCCAGCACCACTAGGAAATAAATCACTGTCTGGCCACTCTGCTCAAGAAGTGACTGTCAGGGCTGTTCAAGCTGACACAAGTCAGGTTTCCTTTCATTTGTCTCCTCACAGTCTCTGGATACTGGAGCTGGCCAGGAGGAGACAGTAGGAGTCCTGAAGAGCTGAGCCTTTTGAGCCTGCATGATTTTTCACATGAAGTCAAAAATCCATGTCCAGGTGTGGTGAGGAGTAGTGCCCCTCAGATACTCCCCAGAGAGTGTGAAAGGCTGGCAGGGCTCTACTGTGCCCCATGGTCAGTGTGGACATTTGCACCAGCTCCAGGAGGAGCCTGATGGACAACAAGAGCATTTTCAGTGGAAGAAGGTGTTCCACAGGCTGTGACCCCAGAGTCTATACCCACCTGCAGGGCACAGTGTCAGAGAACATGGCAGAGAGTGCCCACAGGCCCCAGAGTCTGTACCCACCTGCAGGGTACAGTGTCAGAGAACAGTGCAGAGAGTGCCCACAGGCCCCAGAGTCTCTCAAACCATGTGTCCCCCCTCAAGAGGCAGCAGGTCCCCTGCATCTGCTCTCCAGCAGCTCAGATCCTCCCCAGCTCCAGGATTAGCCATGCTCTAGAGTGGGCATGTCTTGGGAAACCACCACCAAAGACTCCCTGAGCTCTGCCAAGATCTGTGCTCACTAATAGTGCCAAACAAACCATTTTTAAAATTAAAAACAAAGGCCAGCTCTAAGTACTCTTCTCAACTTGTCAAATTTACTAATCTGTGTGGGCACAGTGACGCTACAGATTTCTTAAGGCACCACAAAATCGTGGCTGACAGCTGCCCCTGCTCCTCCTGAAAGTGATACTTGCATGGGAGATGCACAGCCTCCTCAGAGGGAACACACAGGAGTGTCACCTTCACTCACACACTGACAGCTCTGGAATTCAGACATCCAGGAATTCCTGAGCCCTGGGATCTGGGGCTAAATGGAAAAGTCCCCAAAGCATAATATGCCTGAAAATGCTGATGATCACAAGAGCAAAGAGACCAATTCCAATTTCTGTTTTATAAGCAGTGAGGTCTGTTCAGCTCCATAAAATTTACAGACATTTCAGGGGCCCATGACTGGTTTCAAGTAAGAGTAAATTTCTTACTGATAATCCTGGCAGGATTGACCAGATATATATGACATAAACTACCTACCTGATCTAGCGTGGAAAATCTGAGGATAAATCTTTCTTCCTACCTTACTTGTCCCCTCCTCAAAGTGTTTTCACTTATACTTATGTAAGAGTTTTCATGATCTACACTACAAAGGGCTGCCAGCACACCAATGTGCTTTCTTTTTGTAAAACAATGGGATAATTCTTCATTTTCATTCAATTTAGCACCTTCAGTAATTACACACTAGAGAAGCAACTTCATATGCCACGGGAATACGAAGCTTTATTCAAGAGTAGTTGTTAATAAAGAATTATCTACAGAAAAATAGTGTGGAAGGAAAAGAGATTCAAACATCCATCATAATGAATTATTGGCCTGGAGAACAGAATCCACACCATTTCAGGAGTCTGTGCATTCACATACACCAAGATGTGACCAGTTACCCTTGTCTGTGCTTGCTGTGAACAGGGTTCAGGTGCCAAAACACTGCACTTGCTGCCACAAAGGCATTTGAGGCTAACAGGTTACTTCTGCTAGGAAGGAAGTGAAGCTGGTCCAGAAATCAATGCTGGATTAGAGCTGAGCCCCAGGGATGTGGGGTGAGGAGAACCAAGGGGCACCCACAGGAGCTCAGCAGTGACTGGGGCTGCCTTCTGGAGTCAGCTGCAGCAGGCTGCTGTTAACACCCTCGCCTCGAGCTGCTGCTCCCTGTTTTCACTTTCACATGGCTCTTGCCACCTCTCCCACTCCCAGCTGCTCCCTCCACCTGCCATGGCAGCCCTGGCCAGTGTGACTGGGCAGCCTGGCACAGCTCCCTCCCCTCACCATGCCAGAGCTGCCCTGGGAATGACACTGCTCCCCCACTGCTGCCTTCAGCAGCAACACCTGTGTCTCACTCTGCTGCAAAGCCACTTAGGACCAGATAAAGCAGCTTCCTCAGGTTCTCTTTTCACCTTGATTCTTGCTCTACATAGATTTATTGTGCATGAAGAACTGAGCAACAAGATGAAAGGAAGAAGACCAGCGTGCTTGATCTGTAGATCATGTGTCCCTTGGTACCAGAAATATCCAGGTGGCATTTCCATCACTTCCCTGCCCACCTAGGCCAAGACCAACAGGGCTTGACATCCAGTCCTGAGGGCCAAACCACTTCTCACCCCCCTCACTATGTCCTTGAATATACAACCTTTTGTCTTTTTGGCTTCACTTGCTCCTATCTGACACTTCTTTCTTCACCTTCCAGCCCAACACAAGCCACATGCACGACCAAAGACTGACAGCAGTGACATCTGTGCTGGGAAACTGGCAGTGTCTTGGGGAAAAAAGAACCCACATTCTCAGTACATGTAGTTCCTGATAACTAGGCATTTGTTGTGATTATAGTGCAGGAGTTCCATTGTCATTACATTGCAAGGGTTCCATATTGCTGGAGTTGCATACCTGCTTGATGTTTCTAGTAGGCAGCTCCTCTAGGCACAGACTCTTCCTTGTCCTTACAGCAGCCAACTGACTCCAGTTGCCACCAATCCACTCTTTTATAACACTCTTCTTACTGGCTACAGCTGCAGCCTGTTAACATCAGGCCTGTTCCCAAGCTCTAATAACTGGCTCAGCTGCAACTCTTTAGGGGGTAAGATTACTTTCTATACTACCTTTATTTACTTATATTGTGTCCCCCTACAGGCATTTATTTGTGTTAGATACTTACAATACATCCTTTCTCATTGAGTAACCCTAGCTTGACCACTCACTCTGACTTAGGGAACTGAGAAAGGCCTTGCACATTTTCCTTTCAGCGCCACCACGTTTCTCCAGAGCAGGGAACCTGCTGGGATCAGCCCCCACTGACTGATGCCCATCCACAGCTGTGGAGCCAACTCCTATCTGCTGCAGACTGCCTTGTGACCCCCTGGGATGAGAAGTTTATAAATCCAGGCAGCATATAGCCACAAGGCACAGACAGAAGCTCCAAATTTATTCCTGTGTTTAGCAGCTAAACTGATGATTAAAGCACCTTAGATTTAAAGGCTCCGCTCCAGCATCAGAGGCAAAGGGGAATCCAGATAAACCCTATTAAAAGAAC